ATGGACTTCAGGGGCCAGCTGAATTCGCCTCCAGACTTAAGTCTAAACTAGATTAAGCCAATGAAATACTCCATTACTTTGCTCCAATAATTGGTATTGGCACAATAGCCCACCTGGGTCTCATGTAGGGGCAAGCTTGTCCCCTAGGGACAATTGGCGAGGTCTAAAGACATTTATGCTGTCCCAAATTAAAGAGCTCTCTGCCGTTTGTAGGCAGCCACGGTACAAGACATAGAATGGTCCCCCCGCACCCCGCCATACACACACACACACACAAAGAATTTACACCCCGCCCAGTATCAGAAGTGGAGAAATTCTAGTTCAGGGGGCATCTGTGAGTAGTAGACTTGGTCTTGCTCAGTGGGTGTCAGCCAGGAAACTCCCAGCCCCAGTGACTCCTGGGGACCAGCCCTTGACCGCTCCAGGATTCATCCCTGAGATGAAGTGGACGCTGCAGAGGGCCCACGATGACAGTACCGGGAAATGACGCATCTCCCTCTGGACATCTGGTTATGAGAGCCTTCAAACCTCCTGTTGACGATGCCGTTCTTGACCTGCAGTCTTGTTCCTTGCAACCCTGAGCATTTTCAAAGATTAGAATGGAGAGGAAAGCACATCTAAGAAGGGATGTGAGATAGACAAAATAATACCACCCCCTTCCCACCACGATTCTCCATGTTCTAATCGCCAGCACCCATGGATGTAATACTTTACATAATGAAGGAGGGCAGGTACTGTGACACAGCAAGTAAGGCCACCCACATAGGTGCCGGTTCAAGTCATGGCTGCTCCACTTCCAATCCAGCCCCCTGATAAGGTACCTGGGAGAGCAGCAAAAGAGATCCGAGTGCTTTGATCCCTGTTACCCACATGGGAGACTCAGAAGTCCCTGGCTCCTGCCTTTGGCCTGGCCTGGCCCAGCTGTTGCAGTTATTTGGGAAATGAGCTAAAGCTCTCGCTGTCTCTCCCTCTTTCTCAATAATTCTGCCTTTTAAACAGATAGAAAATAAAATTTCTAAAAACAATTAAGTAAATCAAAGGAGGGGTTTGCAAGTGTGATTAATTGAAGGCATTGGAGAAGGGAGATTATCTTGAATTATCTGGGCAATACATCACAGGGATTCTCATTAGGGAAAAGGGAAGCAGGAGAGTCAGAGATGTGAGGCAAGAAAAGCAAAGGATGAAATGATGTGCTTAAATGAGGGAGCAAGGGACCCTGGACCGAGACACACAGGGGGCTTCTGTAAGATAGAAGAGCTTAGGAAACAGTTTCTTTGGGCCCAGTGCAGTAGCCTAGAGGCTAAAGTCCTCGCCTTGCCATATGGACACCAGTTCAAGTCCTGGCAGCCCCACTTCCCATCCAGCTCCCTGCCTGAGCTGAGAAAGCAGTCCAGGACTGCCCAAAGCCTTAGTACCCTGCACCTGCATGGGAGACCTGGAGGAAGTTCCTGACTCCTGGGTTCGGACCGGCATAGCACCGCCCATGACGGGCACTTGGGGAGTGAATCATCGGATGGAAGATCTTCCTCTCTGTCTCTCCTCCTCTCTGTATATCTGACTCTCCAATAAAAATAAATCTTTAAAAAGGAAAAACAGTTTCTTTCCTAGAGCCGCTCTGATTTCAGCCTTGGAGGTTTACTTGGACTCAGACCTCTAGACTTTAAGATAATACATTTGTGTTTCAAACCACTGTGTTGGTGCTCATTTATCATAGCAGCAAGGGGAAACTAACACTGCCTGATATTTAGAAAAACTCAAAATAAAATCAGGAACAAGTAAAACATGTGAGGAACCGTTTGTTTGGACCAGGTAGCTACGCTGGACCCACAAGACTAAGTCAATACAGGGTTAAGTGCAGTAAACTAGCTGGTTTACTGCTAGCCTTTCAACAGGAAGGCTTTCAACCAGTTAGCTAATACAGCAATAACCAGTTGCCTGAATCCTCACCAAGTGGTAGCTTCATTCCCTTCAGTCTACAAATGTCAGATCCCGTTGTTACTGCAGTGTTTAGGCTCACTTCAGTTCTAGGAACTGCTCCCTGTACAAATTTGTTTAGGGCCTGGCGGTGTGGCCTAGCGGTTAAAGTCCTCGCCTTGAATGCGCCGGGATCTCATATGGGCGCCAATTCTAATCCCGGCAGCTCCACTTCCCATCCAGCTCCCTGCCTGTTACCTGGAAAAGCAGTTCGAAGACGGCCCAAAGCTTTGGGACCCTGCACCTGTGTGGGAGACCCGGAAGAAGTTCCTGGATCCTGGCTTCGGATCAGCACAGCACTGGCCAGTGCACTCACTTGGGGAGTGAATCATCGGATGGAAGATCTTCCTCTCTGTCTCTCCTCCTCTCTGTATATCTGACTTTCCAATAAATAAATAAATCTTTTTTAAAAATAAACAAATTGTTTTTGTTCTGTTTCCTTTCTTTTACTTTGTTTTCTTCCTTCTGAAATAAACTCCATCTGATCCAATTGACTTAAAGGTTCTTTTTACTTTTGATATATACTTTTACATTTAAATTTTATTTTAATATATACTTTTAATACTTTTAACAAATATATCAATAATTAAATACATTTTAAAAAAACAGAATAATACAGAGAAAGAATGTGCTGTCTGCTGGTTCGCTTCCCAAATGCCACAATACCTGGGATTGGGTCAGACGAAAGCCAGGAGCCCCCAACTCCACCCACGTCTTCCATGTGGGTAGCAGGGACCCAATTATGTTAGTCATCACCTGTTGCCTCCCAGGATGTGTAGGAGCAGGAAGTTAGATCAGAATCAGGGCAGGGACTCAGTTCCAGGGACTTGGATATGCTCTGCAGGTGTCCCAGGTGGTGTGTGTGTTAACCACTGCACCGCAATACCCACCCCAAACACATCTTCATATGTACTTTATGTTCCTTTCATGGATTGGATCCAACTGCTAACTAGCACAGGCTGCACACTGGATTTTCAAAAGCCCCAGCTACGTGCCATTGATGAGGATGTATCTCAAGCAGTGACACAGAAAGCTTAGGGGAACGCTCCAGTTCCTGCTGTTATCTGGTACAATGGAACAGATCATCCCTCAGATGTAGCAATGGAGAAGTGACAACTACTGTTTTTGCTCCTGACTCGGTGGATCCATCTGCTTGTGTCCTCTGGCAGCTGTAGTTCATGTTACACAACTGTGCTGGCTGGTGGCAGGGCTGACCCTCCACATGGCCACTCCCCCTGGGAGGCCCACGGTGGCAGCAGCATTCCAGGTGATGAGATCAGTAGCTCTGAGACCTTCCAAGGTCCTAGGTCAGCTCTGCTGGCTTCTGAATTCAAAGCAAGACATAGTGCCAGCCAGGATTCAATGGGCAAGAAAAGCAGTTGGCTTCTGCATGGGAGAGCAGCCATGCACAAGGCAAGGGCGGTGGGTTGGGAAGGAAAGGACTTACTCTGGCATCTTTTCAATCCATTTGTCACACCTGGAAAACACCAATGCACAAATCAGGTGGGCCATATTAGTTGAAGTCAAAGTGAAAAGAAACTAAGAGGAAATCATTCTAACGCTAAAAGGATAGGGTGGGGCTGTCTTCATCTAACAACACAGAGTCAAAATGCCTAAAGCAAAACCTGTGAAATATAGCAGAAACTGAACAAAGTCTATAGAAGGGATAGTTTAAGATGAGACATTCAGAAATAAACATATCAAGCACTTAACTCTAATAGTATTTTTACTTTTCGAAAAAAATGCATTTTATTTGAAAGGCAGAATAGCAGAAAGAGGAGACACAGGGAGAGATCATCCATACGCTGGTTTACTCTCCAAAGTGGCTGTAGTGGTCAGGGCTGGGCTAGGCTGAAGCCTGGAGCCAGTGATTCATCATGGCCACCCACGTGTATGGTAGCAGACCAGAGACTGGAACCATCCCCTGCTGCTTTCTCAGGTGCATTGGCAGGGATGAGAAGTGGAGCAGCAGGGACTCAAACCAGTGGCCATATGGAATGCTGGTGTCGCTGCCACTGTAGCTTCACTCAAGTACGCTACAAAACCAGCCTCTATTTGAGAACATTTTAGATAGAGAATGCATTCACAAAACTTGACCCTAGGCTAAGCTGCTAAGAAAAATCTTAATGCAGTCTTCCACCCAAAAAAAATGACGCATAGGTTAGCCCTACTCAATGTAATGCAGCAACATTAGGAATGATAAACAAGAGACCATCTGCTTGGGAGGACCCTCATCCTGTAGCAGAGTGCCTGGGTTTGAGTCTCGGCTCCCTAACCACTCCAAGTTTGTGCTAAAGCAAACCCCAGGAGGCAGGAGGTGATTGCTCAAGTATGTGGCTCCCTAATGCTTAAATGGGAAAGCCAGACTGAGCTATGGGCTCAAAGCTTCAGCCTAGCCCAGCCCAAGCTATTGTGGTCATTTGGGGAGTAAACTAATGAAGCAGGAGATGGAAGGTCTGAAACAAACAAACAAACAAAAAATTTAAAATAAAATTAAAGCAGTCTGCCTTCCCCTGCTCTTTCTGCATCGCCAGACTTGTTTCTCACTCTCCCACTCGGCCCAACTCCGCAGCCTCTGGTTTGTCCATTCGACCCCAGATCCCGCAGCCAGGACCCCAACGGCTGGTGTCTCCACCTGTCCCGCTCCAATTGCTTCCTTCACAGACCAGGGGACTGCATCCCATCCCTCTGGGAAACGGCCATGCCCCCTTCCTCAGGAGCAGACAGGCCACTAATATGAATCTACGCATCCCATTTTCCATGTGAGATAACTGAGGCTTAAACCCAGGGCCAGCACCACTCTTGTTCTTACCCACCATCTCCACTCCCTGCTGCTACCACACAGTCTCTGGCGGCTTTCCCTGGGTCCTTCCCCGAGTCCCCAACAAGCAACCAGAAAGGGTCGGGATGGTGTGGCTCAGGCTTGGTGTCCCTAGGAGGTGAGGTGGCTCTGTGTGGGAGGGCCTGGGACTCCGAGTCTGGGAGGGGCCAACCAGCCTTTGATCCCGGGTTGGTGTGGCTGGTGAGCGAGGCAGCGGACCAGCGTGGAGCGGAGCGCATCTCCTGGACCACGGGGCAGGAGGCTGCGGTGTCGGGGAAGACAACTCCCGCAGGGCGCGCGGGCGACAGGCATGGAGCGCCCAGTGCGAGTGAGGACCTGGGTGCAGAAGAATCAGGCCTTCTTCCAGCCTCCGGTTTGCAACAAGCTTATGTGAGTCCTCCGCGCCGCACATCCCGCGCGTCCTGTGCGCGCTGCCACCTCTGCCTGCACCAGGAGAGGTGTTTGATCTTACAGGTGGGGGAGGGGGCGCTGCTCTCGCAGGGCCGGGGGGGGGGGGGGGGGGGAGAGAAAGAGCTGCTGTTCCGGCTTCCGCCAGTCTGAGTGTTCCTCTTTTTTCTACCGTTGCAATGGGCACAGTGATTTGTCCTTCTTAGGACTCTGGGGCTGCGACAGCAGGTGCATTCGTGCCCCAACACCCTGAGAAGCGGGAAGGGGCTGCTGTGAAGTAGCTGTTCCACCCCTCTAAGTTTTCAGCGGCCCAGAATGACAACAGAACATAAGTGTGGGAAGGAGCAGGTAGAGGATACTCGATGGGGTTGTTCTGGTGCATTGCCACCTCTTTGCAGACACACACAGGCAAGCCCTAGCACCGTAGTCTGCCCTAAGCCAGCAGCACCCCATGGACCTGCTCCTGCCACTGCGTCTGTCCAGCGTGCCTATCAGGTCCTCCCCGGGCTCTGTTGACTGTATCTCCTCCCTCATCTCCGTGGCTGGGTCTCCAGTGCTCCCCAGATCCAAGCTCCCATCTGCTCCGGAAGATGAGGGCACCTTAGGCCACACAGCTATACATCCCCTGAAGAGCCCATGCTCAGCATTCTGCAGCACAACCTTTAACCCTCACCATCCCCTATAAGGGGGACTTCAGAAAGTACCTTCCCCAGACTTAGGCCAGTGGAACAGTTTAACTCCAAAGTCCTCGTACGCTGTTGGTCACTGTGAAAGAGGGCCATGGTCGATGATCAGCATTTCCCCAGAATGAGATTTTAGTGAGTCTGAGTGAAACAAACGAGCTTCTGAAGCTTCTGACACCTGTCAGGCCAAGGGCAAAGTCCCCGACTGGCGTCCCTCCTGATCCAGCCTTCTCCATCATAGCTCCCCAAGACTAGCCCCACACCACCAGGGTTGGCCTCTGCACCCTAGGTACCTGGTGGTGTTTCTCTGCTCCTGCAAGCCCTGGGTCCCATTTCAGCCTGTCTGAGGGACCCTCTCCTCCCATCTCCTGATCTCATCTGTGTTTTCAAACACAGGGCAGGATGTGGCTTGCTCACTGAAGAAGAAAAAGAGACCGTATCTCCCCTGGTCCCCATGCCCCCTCCCAACAAAAGGATACCGGGTTGCAGGGAGAGGAAGGCACAGTCCAGGCCCTCCCTTTACCATGTCCCATCATCAACAGCACAGGCAGCCCCCACAGCCATGACCGGATCCCACAGATGTGCCCAGCCCCAGTGTCTTCCCTGCTCCTTGGAAAGCCCTTGCCCTCCTAGTAGTGGTGGGGTCACCTGATAAGCACCCCTGGGCACATCCCACTGCCTACTGGAGGAGGCAGGAGTCCACTGGAGGAGACCCTGTGCAGAGTGAGACAGCGAGGAGAGAGAAGGGCACTGGGGGATGTTCTTGGGAAAGGTGACAGGATCCAGCAGTAGGTAGGCTAGCTCTGTGCACCGCGGATAGGGCGCTGGCTTGAGGCCAAGGAGGCTGGAGCCCAGCTCAGGGTTTGTCATTACTTGGTGACATCAGCCTCTCTAGACTCAGTCACCTGTCAGAGAGCTGAGTTAGGTTTATTTATTTTATCTAATACTCAAACAGCATTTGCTGGCTACCAGCCAGGCCCTGTTGTGCAAACTTCCAAATGTTAACTCATGTTTTCCATTCAACTCTACAAAATAACAGCAGGCCTTCCATTTCCCAGGTGAGAAGACTGAGGTCCAGCCAGATGAAGGAGTATGCCCAAGGTTAAGGGTAGAGCCAGATCAAATGCTGGGCCAGGGCTGGCTCAGAAGCCTGGGGTGTTAGCTGTGTGCCACACTGACTCGCCGCCATCTGGGGCCTCTGCTGGGTGGCCTAGCCCCTGAGTATTCTGCATAGTACAGGGGCTGAGTCAGCCAGCTGCCCGACAGATCTCAGGGACCATCCTGTAACAAGATTCTGAGCACAGTCCCAGGGCCCCTAGGTGCTGGTAGAGTGACAGCTCCTCCAGCAAGCCACTCCCCGTGTTGGGTCACAGGACATAGGGGACCCATGCGTGGATGTTCAGAAGCACAGTGTGTGCTCAGGGGGTCCAGGAGTGGGGTCAGGGACAGTGACACTGAAGCAGGCGCCCTCTTAGCCCACCTCATGCCCAGCATGTCCTTCTTCCCTCACCCTCAGGAGCTGGATCAGGACTCTCCCTATTGGCTCATTGCAGGCACCAGGAACAGCTCAAGATCATGTTTGTGGGGGGTCCCAACACCAGGAAGGACTACCACATCGAGGAGGGCGAGGAGGTAGGACCACCACTCCATGGCCTAACCCATGGGTTAGGCTGGCTGCCCCTGGTTGCAGGGGACACTCCCTGTGAACAGGCCAGAGCGGGCAGTCTGGAGACAGGGAGACCTAGTCAATGGGGTGGGATGGCGGCTGGGGTAGCACAGGGCTCTGGTCCAGGGCCTGAGCAAGGGAGCTCTGCTGGGGAAGCCCTGGGAAAAGGCCCGGCCCCACGCAGTAAAATTGGCTCCTGCTGCCTCTGCTCTAAACGAGATGTCCTGATTTCGTCCTGCCCCAGTGCCAGGGGTACCTAAGTGCTCTTCTGATCCAGGACTACAATGTGGGGGTGGGTGGGCAGAGGGGAGGGGAATGAGGAGAGGAGGCTGAGAGAAGCAAGATGCCAAAGGAGAGGGTGGGGAGGAGGAGGAGCGGAGGGAGGGCCTGGAGCTGGGTGAGGGCCAGGAGCTGTGTGATTTGGCAGGGGGAGGGGAGGATTTGCACCAAGCACTCTTTTGTACCTTGACTTTTGAACCGTGTCTCCTCCACCTACCTAAAAGTAAGTAAAAACAAAATTAAAGCAGAAGTGTGGGAGTGACACAGTTGTGAGAGTCCCGAGAGGGGAAGGACCAGTAGCAGGACCCCGTCTGTCTATCTGTTGGTCCCGTGTGTCTGGCATCCCTGGTTCTGACGCTGGAGGTCCAGAGTGCAGTGCAGTCAGCCCATAGCCCATAGCCCGCCCCCCTCGGCTCTGCTGTCACCAGCCCTGACCTGCAGCCAGTAACATGGCTCTTGCAACAGCTGCTCTGTGAGCACCAAGTGTGTGCATGGGTTCCCTCGGGCAGTATGGGAAGTGCCTCGGCAGAGCTGGCCATTTCCTCCTATTGCTCCAGACCCCAGTGTCCTCTGGAAAAGCCACCAGAGGCGTGGGCAGAGAGGACAGGCTGTGGCAGCACGCTGGGGGACCAGCCTCCCCAGTCACTTCCCCTGGCCCCAGGGCCCACCCCTCCTGTCTACCTCTCACCTCCTACACTACTTGCTCTTACCACCTTTGCCCTCTGCCCATCTCGTGATCCCTACATACCACACAGGGGCCAGATGTCCACTGAGGGACCAGGCAGCCCATGCCCTGGCTCAGCTGGTGGCAATCATGCCTCTTACCTACGGAGACAGACTTTTCCCATTACAACAGCCCCTCAGCGGCTGGGCTTCCCTTCCCAATCTCTATACACACTGCCCTGAACCACCCTTTTTTCTGGGGGCAAACAGGTTGGGAGATAGATGAGCCACTCAATGTTCATATGATATTTTAGGTGAACCACTGACTGTTTCATCTTTTTATTTTTTTGAGATTTATGGATGAATGTATGTAAAAGGCAGAGCGACAAAGAGGGGATGGAAGAGGAAGAAAAATTTTCCATCACTGGTTCCCTTCCCAGATGGTTACAACAGCTAGGTCTGGACCAGGCCAAACCAGAGCCCCATTCTGGTCTCTCATGTAAGTGGCAGGGACTGAAGGACTCATGCCATCATCCTCTGCCTGTCCAGACCCATTAGCCTGTGCATTAGATGGGCAGCTCAGCATCCTGGTCTTGAACTAGTCTTCTTTTATGGGATGCCAGCCTCTCAAGTGGCAACTTAGCTCACTGTATCCCAAGGTGGGCCACAATCATGTGTCTTAGACAGGCCATGTCACAGCCCCCATCTGAACCTTTCCTAGCAGTTCCTGGGCCAGCATCCCCCACCTGGTGGAAGGAGTCGCTGTGTGGAGTAGGTACTTCCCATGCTTTGCTTGCCTGTGTGTCCTGCTGCCTGCAAGGCCCAGCAGCCAGATTCAATTCAATAACTGCCAGAGCGGTACAGTTAATCTTCCTTGCTCGCCCGGGGCCCCAAATGTCACCACTGCCAAACAAGAATAATTCCTTTTGGATTGCCCACGGCTGTTGGGGATTTTCTGCTCTTCTCCCATCTGTGTCCGCTCCCAGCCAGGCCTGGCCTTCACTGCAAGGAAAGTCTCTGGGCAGGAAACAGGAGAATTCAGTTTCCATCTTATATTTTTGTTTCAGGGTCATGAGCACTTGGTAGCCTGCCCAGAACCGCTTGAATCTCGGCCACTCCAGACTCCCTCGACTTCCCTTGGTCATGGCTCCTTACCAGAACTCTTCCCACCACACCCCAAAAAGACCCAGGCCACACATGTGTACACATACACACACACACACACACAGAGCTGTGGGGAGGGGCTAGGAACATGCTGACTTGCTTTCTATAGGGAAACCTGCTGGGTTTTATTTTCTTATTTGTATTAAACAATGTGGCTGAGGTTTTAATACTGGAAGGAAATATTGTCCATTATAGAAAACATGAGAAATATAGAAAAACATGTTTGTACCTCTCACATTCCCACCCATCGGGTGCACCCTTATGAACACATGATCCGTGTCAGTCTGTACAGTTAGGACCCGGTGGGTAGGGTCATGACTATCACTTTAATGTTTCATGTCACAATTTTTCATTATCATCAGCAGTCATTCAAAGTAGCTTCTCATGGCTCCATTGCATTTCATATTTTTACTCTATTATTAAATATGTACATTTCCCTTGGCATTAAGTGCCACCATCACTCAAGCATTAGCTAGAGGCTCACTGAGCACTTGCTAAGTGCTAGCGGTTTCACAAGGACCTTGCTGTAGGTGAGTAAACAGGCATGGAAAAGTGGCCTTGTGGCAGCACCAGTTAAGCCACCAACTGCAATGCCAGCATCCTATTGGAGCATCAGCTGGTGCCCTGGCTGTTCCACGTCCCATCTAGTTCCCTTATCTGAGAAAGCACCAGGGGATGGGCCAAATGGCTGGCCCATTGTCACCCATGTGGGAGACCCAGGTGAAGGTGCTAGCTCCTGGTTTCCACCCTTGCAGCGATCTGGGGAGTCCACCTTTTGAGTATATAATCTTTTAAAAAGGACAAGAAGGTCTAAGTGAATTGATCAAGGGCCCACAGCGGCCTATCAGGGCTTGGGGAGAATAGCCTTATCTGTGATGTCCTGACAAGAATCTCTAATTCCTGAGTCCTTACAGAATAATAACCACAGATACTGTTGGGAACACTCTTTCAGCCCTGTGGGTGGGTCATAACACCTCTGCCATGTGCGATCGGCAGGGAGTGCCCATGTCTGCCAGGACATACAGGAAACCAACAGCCACACCCGTCTTGCCATGCACAAAGGCACCTGGGAATCAGTGAGGTAGCAGATCATGCGTTCACACAGGTTGCATTGCGTGCTCTGGGATGGTGGCTGCGAGGTCACGGGCGTGTGTGGTTTCATGTGGTTAAGAGTCCCGGGGAGCTGTCTGGCATGGTGTAGTTGGTCATAATTTTGGCTGCAGCTGGTTCTGATCCTAAAAAGACAGCTCAGCAGATGTTTTAACAAAGACAGTCTTAGGGGCTAGCATGTTACTATGCTACAGACAGACACATGACCCGCAGACAGTGTGTGTTAGGCAATGAAGGAAGCAAGCGGAGGGACACGCCTAATTGCCTGATCAGACCTTGGCTGGCACAGGAAAAAGGCTTGTCCTTGGATCAAGCACAGCCCCCAGCCCACCCTGGACTAGACTCCCAGTCTAGGCTTCACCACGAGCCTCCATTGTCTTTTCTGCAGAATGGGCTTCATATTACCTTTGGAGGTTGTATCAGGATTTCTGATCACATACATGGAAGTACCTGGCATAGAGGATGGGCGAGTCTCTCACCTCAATCTTCCACCAGGGGCCTCTACTTGTACTCACATGAGTGTTTGAGACAGGGTCTCTGTGTGAGGGGCTAAGGCTTTTTGCTGTCCCACAGGTGTTTTACCAGATGCAAGGAGACATGGTTCTCCGAGTCCTGGAGCGAGGGCAGCACCGGGATGTGGTCATTCGGCAGGGAGAGGTGAGGCCGGCAGCCCAGACATGCGGAGAATTAAGAGCAGCCAGAAGGAATGGGTCCACCTTGGGTACCCGTCCTGGTTTCCGTAGATCTGGTCTCTGTTCTTCCCTTTCCTGCCCAACCTCAGGAGCCCCCCTCCTTCAGGGTGGCCCGTCTTCAGCACAACCTGATGTTACCTTGGGTTCCCTGGTGAGAGGCAGGGCAGAGTATCAGGCCTGGGGGACGGGCAGTGCTGCTGTGGGTCAGCCTAGAGGAGCCTGTGGGTATCAAGTTATCCTCTTGCAGATATTTCTCCTGCCTGCTCGCGTGCCCCACTCCCCACAGAGGTTTGCCAACACTGTGGGGCTGGTAGTTGAACGGAGGCGGCTGGAGACGGAGCTTGATGGGCTCAGGTGAGTGCGACCTGCCTGGGGGTCTGGGGCAGGGAGCAGGCAGGCAGCAGAGCGGCACAGCCCACACCTGCAGTAGCTGGAGGTGGCACGTCCTGGAAAGTTCTTGCTGGTCACCAGGAGGGTGGGGACAGTGAAAGTCCTGTGTTTGTCCACTGGTGGGAGAGTGGGATTCCATGTCAGGCTTGGGGGTGGAGGGCAAGGATATCCTCTGGGACCCCCTGGGAGCTTGTCAACCCTCTAAGCTGGACTTAGAAACTGTGCTTTCTGTCTGGGGTTTGTGGGCCAAGGTGGGGCACAGAAGTAGGTGCAGAATGCTACAGTCAGTACCCCCTGCTCAACCCCAGCCTCTCCCTACTATTGTTAGCAGTCCAGTTCATGCCAGCAGCAAGCACTGACCCCAAGACAGCACCTGCTGAGTGCTCTGCATTAGTCCCTTTAGGGCTGGCAGTCATTCCAGAGGGTAGGGGCTCCCACCAGCCAGACTCTGACCAGGGCAGAAACCAGGCCCGGGGTGTCCTGTTGTCCAGAGCTGCCCCTCTCAAGCAGGATGAAGCTGCAGCAGGACAGTGGAGAGAGGTCGAACATTCCCACCCCCACACCCATCCAGATCAACAGAGGAGCCGCTGAGCCAGGCAGGGGGCATGGGTGGGTTTCAGAGTGTGTGATGATTATGTGCCTTTCCCCAGGGCAAGGGCCCAAAGCTTTGCAGTCATGACCCTGAATCAAAGAACTGCTCACCTCTCTTCTTCCCCATTGAGGGTCCAGCCTCCACATGTTGACTTCTGACCCAAGTGCCACAGGCAGGCCCAGCACTTGGCCACTGCTAGTCCTGGGTTCAGGCTTCGCCTCAGCTCCCTCATTGGGAAAAACAGACACTGAGATTACTGTGTGCTCAGCTTCAGTCTTAACTCTGCCCATTATTACCAGGGCAGATAGTTCCTGCCAGCTACCCCGCTTCTCTGAGCCTTGGGGATTCACCTGCTCTGTCAGTGGTACAGAGGGCATAGCTGTGCTTCTGGAAGAGCCTGGTAGAGGTGATCAGGGCTGACCCCTCACGTGCAGGGCCCAGCCCAAGTGCCCACAGGTGGAGCAGTGCCTGAGGCACCCAGATAGGGAACAAGTTTGCCATCCTTTGTTCTGGCAGGTATTACGTGGACAATACCACTGACATCCTGTATGAGAAGTGGTTCTACTGCGAAGATCTTGGCACACAGCTGGCTCCCATCATCCAGGAGTGAGCTTCCCCCTCCCCCCGGCCATGTCTGGAGGCTTTACCTTCTGGCTTGCAGCTGCTATGTCTGCGAATTAGGGAGAACATCTTCTGGGGAGGAAGAGGAGCACCCACTGGGGAGGGGAGAGGGGTGTTCCTGGGGTGGATATACAGCGAACTGTGTGTGACTGTGGGCCCCATGAATGTGTGCTTGATCGCATGTGTCATCAAGCTTTCACAGGGATGCCCATCATGCTGTCTACCGCTTGTCCCTATAGGTTCTTCCACTCGGAGCAACACAGAACAGGAAAGCCCATCCCTGGTGAGGCCACTAGGACCTGCACTGTCCCTCCCTGCTTCCCCAGACCATGATGGGTCCCAGCCCCAGGTCCTGTCCTGAGCACTTTGTACAGTTTTTAGTTATGGAGTAGATGGCATCAAATAGCTCCTTGGTCATCGAGCTGGGCCCAGAGCCTGTTCTGGCGGTTGGGAGCAGCGGCCTCTGGGAGCTGGGCCTGCTCAGGCTGGGTGGACTGGGTGGGCTGGGCCCAGAAGACACTGACCATCCTTGTCATGTGTAGAGCAGCTGCTCAAGGAGCCGCCCTTCCCTCTGAGCACACGGCCTGTCATGGAGCCCATGTCGCTGGAGGCCTGGCTGGACAGCCACCACAGCAAGCTGCAAGCAGGCACTCCCCTCAGCCTGTTTGGGGACTCCTATGAGACCCAGGTAATGGAGTTCTGGCCACACACAACGTCTATCCAACGGCCCTCAGGAAATATGCCAGTGAGCTTTGCTTGCATGCTGTGTGCACATTCACACAGAAACTCAGATACATGCTCATGCTCATACACTTACATACATGCTCACCCTCATACATGCATGCTACACTCACACACAGGTGCACACACACATCCCAACCTGGAGGCTGGGGCACTACGCACAGCCCAACTTGCTTCCTCCATGACTCAGGCAGTGGTGACTGCTGTAGTTTGTGGAGGCCATGTGGTCCCAAGCCATCCTTTGTTGCTTTCAGAGTAGGGCTGTTGCCCCATTCAATGACAGCTCCTTGGAGGTCTGAGATTTACCTTGTTAAGAATCCCTGGGTCTTTGATCAGTCTCAGCCTTGGAAGCCAGAATGGAGAGATATGATGAGTGTATGTCCCTAGTGTGCCCTGGTGGGCGTGCCTTCACGGGAGCATGTGTCAGAAGGAGCCCAGGCGCATGTATATGTGAAAGGCGGGCCCGAGTGATTCTGAGTAGCAGACAGGCAGCACCTGCTTGCCCTGGCAGGTGGCAAGGAAGCCGCAGCCTGCAGCTTTCCTCTCTGAGTCCTGTTCTCTGCTCAGCATGCAGTGACAGACTGTGCTACAGACCTTCCCCTGCCTCACTCAGGGCTGCTGTCTGAGAGTCAGGTTCAAGACCCTGGGTCCATGAGGGGCAGGGAACACCAAAAAGACCCATGTCATCTCCCCCAGGTTATCGCCCATGGACAGGGCAGCAGCCAAGGTCCAAGACTGGATGTGGATGTGTGGCTATGGCAGCTGGCAAGTGGGGCCCTGGACAGGGAGGGTGACACAACATCCTGTGTGTGGGGGTCAGGCTACCCAAGACCTTGGGCTCCCAGGGGCTCTGACCAAGGCCGACTGGGGGTTGTTCAGGCTGTGCCTAGGACCTCCAGCCTCCTGATGTCCTGTTCCACTCCCAGGAGGGCTCCTCGGTGGTGATCATGGGAGGCCAACGCCTGAGTCTGAGCCCCGATGACAGCCTGCTGGTGCCGGCTGGGTCCACGTGAGTCCTCAAGAACACCTCTACCTGCCCTGTGGGAACACCCTCCCTACCTTGCTCTGGGATCCTTGTGGGCCTTTCTGCATCTCTACAGGTACAGCTGGGAACGAGCCCAGGGCTCCGTGGCACTGTCTGTGACCCAGGACCCTGCCCGCAAAAAGGCCTTGGGGTGACCCACTCGCTGTGGGCACTGAGTAAGCACCGTCCCACATGCCAAGGACTTCTCTTCTGCTACCAAGTATCACACCCCTCCCCTGCCCTGACACCAAGTCCCCAACCTTGTCCTCCTCCCTACTACGTGCTTAGCCCAGGATGCAGTACATCCTCTTCTCTAACAGCCCCACCCACTGCTCCTGTGACCAGCTGTGTCCACAACCCCAACCCAACAGGCTCAGCACAGCACTCAATAAAGCCTTCCTAATGAATGACCCCACTGTGGGCCCATGCACACAAGTGTCATGCACACATGTGCTCCTATGACTGTGTCAGAGCACAAGGTGATCATGTTGCTATGTGTGCACAGGTGTTCCTTGCCACGTAGGACCCCAGCCCACCCCTGCCCCCATGCTGCAGTTCAGCTGAAGTTCTCCCTCAGCCTCTTCCTCCACTCACATTTGGTCTTTCTTATGTAATTTTCAATAAGTTGCACCTGTCTTCATTCCCAGTAACAGAAGTCATCTTGTGTTAACAGCAGAAAACCACAAAATCTTCACAACCAGAGTCCCCTGTTAACAGCCAAAGGCTGCTTAGCCAGAAGGGGGCACAAGATTTTCAAGAGCATGGTGGCAGGGCAAAGGGTGTTATGTGTCCCCAGGCTACCACCCCCTGGGGCTGCAAAGACCCAAGAGTGCTCCCTGGGCCTGCATGGGAGTGGCTGCCTCTGGCCAGAGCAGGTGCCTAGTACTGTTCAAAGCTGCTGCAGAAGTGAGACTGGGAGCCCCAGCCTGGAGGCACACTGCTTTCAGGGACAGAGCCCTGCTCAGGCTGGAAGGGCTTTCAGCCCTAAGAGTAGTGTGGACCTTCACTCACCTCTCCAACCTACAGGGTCTTCCTGCCCTGTGAGCAAAGAAGAAATGTCACCAGCCTCCTCCACCAATGTGGGCCCCGGGAAGCATTCATGGGCTGCTGCAGTGTGTGAGCCGAGTGGCCCAAGAAGGCCCTTAGGTCAGAAGATGAGGCCACGAGCAGGACTTTATTCCTAGAGCCGGGGCTAGGCCTTGTCCTGGCCAGAAGCAGCAATCAGATCTGCTGGCTTTCTGAGCAGGAGCAAGTTTTTACACGAATGATCCCATTTTATCCTCTCAGCTTTTCAGGGAGCCTGCAGCACTCAGCTCTGCAGGAGATGCTCATGCCTGTCTGAGTAGTCATAGCCTGTTTGTCCTTGGCCTTTGCTGCACAGGAGCCCAGGACAGGGGACAGTGTTGGAGGATCCATGGGAATGGAACCCCATAGCCACAGGTCCTGGAACTCGAAGGCCTGAGCAGTGTGCAACAGACCAGTCCACAGCTAGCCTGGACCTGAGACCTCCGCCTTCCTCAGCCCTGCCGTTCTGATCAGCAGCCATGGCCTTGTCTTGACGAACAGATGGGGCTGGCAGTCTCAAGAGAATGCCTCACAGCAGCCAGTAGGCTGGGACCTTGTCTGGAGCTGGCCCTTGCCTCTTGTTCTCTCTGCCATGAGTGCTGGGCACCCAGGATGGTAGGGTTGGGGTGGGGAGGGTAGTGGGCAGGGAAAAAGGGTTGTTCTGTTCGGTCACCATGGTAGTGGGAAGTTGGCAAGGTTGTCCTCTGCCTCTGGGACAGACCTTATCACGCACGTGGATTGGGACCATGCAAGGCTTCAGAACAGTGGGGAAGATTGAGGAGCAGGCCTAGGGGCATGGGGCTCCTGGCAGAGCACCAAGAGGCCATGGGCAGGAAGGTCAGCTTCAGCGGACCCTGTTCCTATCTCTCTATAGCCTCTGCAGCCACAGCGTGTAGATGAGGGCATCTCAAAAGCGTCCATGGAAAATGAGAATTAAATACAAGTTTATTTCCTGCCAACATGGACTCTTCCCAGGACTCCTCCTGCCCACTCCAGGCAGCTTGAACCTGAACACATTTCTTGGTTCTTGGTTGTTTCTTGTTTGTGTATTGCATTGGGTGAGACCTTTTCACAGGGAAGTTCATAGTCAGGTAGACAAGTTGGAGGTCACTGCCTCCTGCAGTCCTTGTGTGATGGACCCTGGCCCTGCCTGAGTTGTATTCTCGTAGCTGCTTGTGGTCTCAACCCAGCGTTGTGCATCGTTCTTCCCCCACCCAGCACATACCTGGTGCTGCAAGACCCAGGGGGTTCCTCTCCCTGCCCACCCACCTGGGTCTGACCTCAGCCTTGCCTCTGGCCTGCAGATACCCTTTGTCCAGTTGGTTGAGTGACCTTGTTCCTCCAGGCAGATCCCAGCAATCCTCAGCCCATGGCACTGCTGCCCTGTGGCAAAGCCTTTGCTCTGAGTAGGACAGACCTTGCTCTGGCTAGAACAGACCAGGCTGGGACCTTCTCTGCAGTCCCATGTCTGTCCAGGTATTTGCTCTCCTGGGCCAGAGCAGGTGCAGGTGGGGCCCTATATGTTTCTCCATATGCTGTGCACAGAGCTGTGCACAGGGCTGACAGGAGCCCTTCTAGTTCCACAAGAGGCCCACTGAGGCTGACAGGCTGCACAGAGTGAGGTCCAAAGTGCCGTTGAAGTAAGTGGAAGCCAGGGGGCCGCGGAGGAGTCACAAGCAGATGTGTAAGAGGCAGCAGGGACCATGGCAGCAAACTGGGAAAGGGTAGGCGAGGCCCGCAGCAGCCTTTTTGCATGGAGCGCTGTCCTTGCCCAGAGCTTTCAGGAGTCCTCAGTTTCCCAAAGGTGGAGCTGCTTCCCTGGGAGGGCCTCAGGCCACACAGGCTCCGGGTCCAGGGTCCAGGGCCCAGGGCCTGATGACCAGCCGGAAATCAACACCGTCTCCCTAGTAACCTTTGGCATTATGATGCACCTGCTCTGAACTCCTCACAGCACAGCCAGGAATGCTCCCCGTTCTTCAGAAGCTCCCAGGAATGGGAGCAAAGGCCCAGAAGTGCCGCCCATGGTACAGAGGGAGGCATGTTGGGGTGACAGGAAGCAGGCCTGGGGGTTGTGGATTTCTGCAGAGTGGCCCCAGACCGCTTCCCTGGATACTCCCCCCTCTCAGGAATCCAGAGATACGGAGAAGGCAAGGGAAGCACTGGCCAGGCCTGTGCAACCTGGGCATCCTCCAGGGTTGCTCCTCACCTGTTGCCCATGACTCCTCTCTCACTACTATCAGCTCACCAGGCTATCTACCACCACAGATAGGAGAAGGCCAAGCCAACCTGGGCAGGGAAGTCACTGTCTCCTCACTGGGAACACAGCACCTCTTTCTCGGGGCACCCCCTGTCATGGTTGCTGGCACCTTCTCTGCAGTCCCATGTCTGCCCAGGCATGTGCCCTCTTGGGCTAGACCAGATGCAGGTGGGGCCCCATGTGTTTCTCCTCAGTCTCACCTGGCCCCTCAGTGGCAGGCCTCCTTCTCCCCTGGCCCCTTAGGACCTTGGAGAAACGTCCAGGTATCCTGCCTCCCCAAGGCCTATGCCTATTCTCTCATTCTCCCTCACACACAGCAGCTCCTGGGCATTGGTCATGGTGCTAGGGGCACTACTGACCTGCCCTGGACTCTCACTGGCTCTCACTCCCGACCTTGCACACCCCCTTCACAGCACCTTCTCTAAAGGGGATCTGAGGACTTCAGCTGCCTCCACTTCCCCTGGCCCAGGCTCCCTTTTAGGTTCTCCATCTGTGAAATGGGTACAGGGATTCTGGCCTGTGTCTGTCTCAGGGGTTGCAGGCAGCAAGAACTAAATGGCAGAGTGTGAGCAAGGCAGGCAGGAAAAGGAGATAGAAGAGAACGGTTGCAGTGTGGGGTGCAGGGTTTTCTCCAGACGGGAGAGTAGCCATCCCTTGGCGGCATAAGGCACACTGGGGGCGGGCTGAGCAGACACCCCATCTCTTACATCCCAGTTTCAAACAGCATTTTGGTCCCTGGGGTGGGCGGCGCTGTTCGGTGTGAACACTGGGCAGAGCTTGCCATCTTTCCTTTCTTGTCCTGCGGTCACCTAATGTAACCCGCTACCACCGAGAGGAGGACCCAATGGCATCCAGCACGTGACTGCAGGGGGTGTAGGAGAGGAACTGCAGGGTTGGCTGACAGGCCCACATCACTGATTTCCACCCGGACAGGTCAGACAACCCAGAGCTACAACGGTACATGACCCTGCTCCAACCAGAACACTCCAGCTTGAACCCAGCAGGAGCTCAGACGGATCCAGTGCAGCCAGCCCAGGACACACCAAGGTCTTTTGGGTAGTAACACATTCAGAATATAGGGGTGGGAGGCACTAACCCTGTCTGGGGCGCCAGGGGTGAGAGGCCTGTGCCCACGCAGAAAGGGGAGAAGGGAAAGGTGTTATAGGTCTTAGAGCTTCAAGAAGACACAGTGTGCAAGAGAGAAAGGAGGAGGCCAGAGGGAGAGGGAAGGAGACCTGGCACCATCAAGGAATGCATAAAGCCGGGTGGGGGTTGGTCCTGTAGAGAGCCGAAGGCAACAGAGAAAGGCAAGTCCAGGAGGTTTTCAAGTGGAGGATATTTTCAAGTGGAGGATGGTGCTTGCTCGTGCATTTTTGCTCGGCTGCTCTGGTAATAGTATTGGGGAGACCATCTACATAGGACAGGGGGTACACTCCCAGCAAAGACACGAAGAAGGGCAGGTGCAGAGGTCAGCACAGAAAAGCCCAGCTGAGGGGAGCGAGGGCAGCAGCCTTATGGGGAGTGCGTGGCTGTGACCCAGTGGAGATGCAGGTGCAGGCATGGGTGAGGAGGGCCTCCAGGTAGACATGCACAGGCATGCTCTTAGGGTTTCAGAGAGCTGAGGCTCCAGGGCGGATGGGCTCACCTGCTGTGACAGCAAGCAGGACCACTGTCAGGATCTGCCTTGGGAAAAAAAAACCTGCAAGCAGGGGGTGTGCAAAGACAGTGCCAGCCAAACATTTCAGAAAACCCTCAGGCAGGGAGAAAAAAACAGGACCGAGGCAGGGGATGGCATGGGAGAAGTCACAGCATGCTCTCTGCCCAAGGAAAGGGACGCCCACTCAAAGGAACAGAAAAAAAAAGCAGCCAGCTTTCATGAAGGTAAAAGTCACCCGGACCGCTTGCAAAGTGCCTCACACGAAGATAGAGCACTCTACAAAGCGTCTCTCTCCCAGCTGCATGCTGAAGAAAGCGGATCTGAGAAGCACAATGCGTGTGGACGCTGAGGACTCAAGCACCTCGGACAGACGCCTGGATGAACAGTGCAGCATCCAGCACTGCTGCTTTCCCTACCCGCCCCCGTTTTTTTTTTTTTTTAAAGATTTATTTTTATTATTTTTTCATTGGAAAGGCGGATATACAGAGAGGAGAGACAGAGAGGAAGATCTTCCATCCGATGATTCACTCCCCAAGTGAGCGCAACGGGCCGATACTATGCCGATCCGAAGCCAGGAGCCTCTTCCGGGTCTCCCACACGGGTGCAGGGTCCCAAAGCTTTGGGCCGTCCTCGACTGCTTTCCCAGGCCACAGGCAGGGAGCTGGAAGGGAAGCGGGGCTGCTGGGATAGAACCGGCGCCCATATGGGATCCCGGGCGTGCAAGGCGAGGACTTAACCACTTGCGCCACCGCGCCGGGCCCTCCCGCCCCCGTTTTTTAAAGGTTTTTAAGAAGCAACAGGCTGACATTTGTAGAAAGTTTGACATGTGAAACACATTTTTGGGTCATGAACTAATACATGTACATTAATCATATAAAATTATACCCTGGCTGATAAACATGAAATTAAAGGGGCGTCATCCTGAGAAGGAGGGAAATGGAGGCCAGTGCACAGGTGACTCTGATTGTGGCAGAAGTCCTCTGTGTAAGGAGATGTGCACAGGGAAGCATGCTGGCACTCCTACTGTCCTGAGAACAAAGGGATGAGTGCAACGCATGACAAGGACCCGGGGACCACAGCTTCCAGTGCTCAAGAGCCCCCAGCCAGGGGTCAAAGGACTGTGGGGGACTGGTGATTACAGGGTTATTAATGACTGTGACCAGCCATTCCAGAGAGTGGTTGGGGCAGGTACAGGTTGGGAGGAGCCATTGCAAACTGTGCTGGGTGAGGAGGAGTGGCAGTGGACACCATGCTTTTTCCTTTCAACACAGTTGCCAGTAAAGAGCAATCAGGCAACAGCTGTGGAGGTGTAGATGGATGGGGGACCATGGTTCAGATGTCTCGTGGACTGCATGGGGGACGAATTAGAGATGGTGGAGAAGGAGGGAGATGAGTGAGGGGGTTAGAAAACAAAAATGGAATAGCAAGCAGTCTGGATGTACCAGTGTTGTCCTAAGCATTGCACATGTGACTTCCTCAGTCTTGTAATGTAAATATTATGATCCCAGTTTACAGAGGGAAACACAGCAAAGTTGTGTAACTTGCCCAAGGTCTTACATAACCAGTAAGTGGCAGTCTGGCCTGAGCCAAGACAGTCTACCATAGGGTCCTAAGGGAAGACAGAGAGTCACAATGTTCCCTGTCACAGCTTGGACATAACAATTGAAGCAGTCTATACAACCAGGCAGACCACGATGCAGGCTGCAGTTGGGGTACAGTTGCCCTTTCTGGGCACCACTGCAAGTACTGGGCACATGTCCCAACCACCTGGCCCAAGCCACTGCAGTGCAGTAGCGGCTTTGAGGGCTATTCATGGAAAATGCTTGCCAAGTGCTCCACAGACCTGAATTCTCCATGTCCTTGGTCTGTGGCTTAGGAGGTAATAGGAGAAGACCTATCTCCTCAGATGCAGAAGGGCCACTGGGTGGCTTGAGGGGAGACCACCTGGCCTGGCCCCTCACCTCCCCAGACCCTCAGCACCTGAGATGAGACCTGCCTGAGGCCAGGAGTTTCACAGCTGAGCCACAGTCTCAGGCAAGGGCAGCATAGAACCAGGCATCATTTCCAGAATTTATTGGAAACATGATACAAACCAATGCATGGATGGTGTGTCCTTGCCGTGCACACTGCTGACACACTGGGAAAGGACCAGCCTGCAGGATGTTGTTGAGCACGTGCCATGCTCAGGGGTGTTCTCTGGCAGAGCCATGATGGAGAGGGCCAGGAGTTAGAGGAGGGATGCAAAACTGGGTCGCAATTTCCTTGCAGATGTTGGCAGGGGGTCGGGGGAAGATGGGGAGATGAGGGTGCTAAATGGGTAAATTCTCGCAAAGGAAAATGGAATGACTGTGGAAACAAAAGTTTTCCCTACCCTGCAAGAACAAACTGCCTCTCTGGGCTGACAGAGCCCACAGGAACCCAAGACAGCTCTGGCAGGGACCATGCCTCTGCCTGCATGGCTGTGCCCTCTGCGGTCCCCTGTCCTGCCCAGCGGCCCTGGCCCCTGCCTACAGCCTCTCTGCTGTTGTCCCCCATCTCTGGCTTGTCCCTCTCTCCAGTTTCACTGTTCAGCTCTTCTTATTTCTGTGTTAAATCTCTGGATTAAAACCCCCGGGTGTTTGTTTCTCAATTATTTATTTCTTTGAGAAGCAGAGAGACCTGCCATCTGCTGGTTCACTTCCCAAATGACCACAACACCCAGGCCAGGAAGTTGCAGGCCAGGAATGCAGCCCAGATCTCCCACACGGAGAGCAGGAGCCCAATCACTCGAGTATCAAACCTGGGGACTGAGAGAGGGCACAAGTGTATTATTTAGCCTCCTCCTCTCCAGGCCAAATGCTCACCCTGAACTCTTCTGCTGTATGTGCTTCTCTTGGGTGGCAGCAACTGTGGATGCGGCAGCACTGTGAGAGGCGTGCTGTGAAGTTCCAGCACCACCCCCTCCATGTCCTTTCTTGTGCACATTTAGGAAACCTGGGCAGGCAGGGGAGGGCACAACAACATGGCACAGCCCCATGGGCTGTGCAGGCTCACCACAACTCCTTCATGCTTGCTGAGAAACAGGGCCCCAGAGAGCAGCCTCTGGGAACCCTTGGAGCAGTTATGTCTCAGGGCAGAGGCTCCCTGGCATGTGTCCCCCACTACCTGAAGGACAGGCATCGGAACAGTGGGGTTTTATGGAGATGAGCCAAGCACATGGGACCCTAGTTCCTTAGGCAGCATCTTGGTGGGAGAAGGAGACTGTGGAACCTGGAGGGCTCAAGGACAGGGGGATAAAGAACCTACTTGGTACATGTGGCTCCAAACAAGCCACACTTGTCCCAAAGCCTCCTGTGATCTGAAGGCAGGGAGAAGGCAGACTCCCTGCTCTCCCTTTGTACTCCCTTCGAGCCTCCTTCTCCAAATCTCTGGGACTTGGGGAGAGGGTATCTCCCCAAAGGCAGAGAGGATGAGCCTGGTGGCAGCAGAGCAGGCAGCTCACTCTACTGGTCACCCTTTAGTGCTGGTCAGCAGAGGGACGATGTGCAAAGGCCAGAGGGGGCGGGGAAACTTCTTTCCCCTTCTTGTGGCTCCCCTGAGCCACAATCAGGCCAGAGCAGGTTTTGGACAGCTCTGCTGTGTCTTTCTCTTTAGAGAAGAAGGTGCCACGTGACTCGTGACATGCAGTGCCAGCTGCCTTCTCTCCCCAGGGCTTAGCTGAAGGGTTCCTTGTGGGCACTGCTGGGGAACGCCTGCTGCCTGCTGAGCATCACCACTCCACTGAGCACCCTTCACACAGGCCCCACCCCCAGGGCCCCACGCCAAGACCCAGTATAGCTCCATGAGTTGGCAGTGGCGGGAACATCCCCCGGGCATCCTCACACAAACCTAAGATGAGAACCAACTCCTCCTCAGGAAAGAAGCTGGGAGACTTTGCAGACCTGCAGAGGGGTCAGGCAGCCAGGCCTGAGCTCCGGAACATGGCCCTTAGCCCTTGCACAACACAGCTCTGGGGTCAGCATCGCCTTCCTGGGAGGGTCCAGTCAGTCACAGCCATGTCCTGCAAAAGCTAGCCAGCTGTGGCATTGCCTTCAGTCCAGCTCCCTCTCAACTGTATCCTCAAGACACCTGGAGGGGCCATCTCCTCTGTCTTTCGTGGTGCTGCAGTCCCATGCCCCGTGGCCTGTATCCTGCCACTGCCAACATTGGAGGGCAGGGGAGTGGCCAGTCCCATGTCTGCTTGCTAAGTTGATCAGGCACTGACTTGCTCCTATCCCTGTGATTTGGCTGTGATGATGCTTAGGATGGAAAGACTGAGCACCAGCTGGAGGGGCAGACACACATACTCAAAGGGGTCATGGTATCATCCCCAGGTTCACATCTGCTAACCCTCCCACCCCAACCCTGTAGGCCAGAAAGAGTATCTGTCTAAAATAAACCCGAGCAACCTGTACCGGGCTCAGCAGCCACCCAGCTGAGATTCCTCATCAGCCAGTCTGCAAATGGCTCACCGCTATGCCACTCAGGCTGGGCCTGGCTCACACCCGCTATTGCTGCAGCAGCCTGGAGCTGAGCAGAGCCTGGCACAACACCAGTGCTCTCCCACGACAAACATGAGTGATGAGAAGAGTTTGCAGGCTTACCACAGATGACCACTGCAGCTTCCTCAGGGAGTCAGGTCCTCAGGGAATTCTGTACCTCGGAAAGGCAGGGATGGAGGGGTGGGGAAGGGTCCAATACCAGATGGAGGGGAAAACGTAGAGTTTCCCCACTTAAGAAAAATAGAGAAACCTACTGAGAAAAAGCCAAGCGACATTAATAGTGAGGCCAGGGAGACATCATCAACTGCATAAACACTGGCACATTCTTAAGAAAACTCCATTAGAATGAAGCCATGGCCCTTCTGTACAGAATTACAGAGCAGAAAACGGAGCTGACACATGCAGGCAGCGGCTCTTCTGAGCCCCCGGCAGCCTCCATGGCTCCCGAGGAGCTGTGGTTCCTGCTGCCAAGCAGAGGGGTGAGTGTGGGGGGTGGTTTCCTCACCCCCCACTCTGTTCCTCAGGCAGGTCCTTCAGTGAGACAGCGAGGTTTCTGGGAGGAAAGCAAGGTGCCACTGATGTACACGTGGAGATGCAGCCTGTGGGGTGCGCACTCCCCCAGCTTCTTCCCCTGCCTCCACTGAGTCTTCAGGAGGCAGTGCATGAGTTCTCCCCCAAAATGTACTGTGAATGGGGCTGCCTTTGTCCCAGGCATGGGCTGTGGACAGCAGGGCAGGGCAGGGCAGCGAGTCTTGGATTGCCGGATGAGATAGGGAGGCTCAGTCTGACACGCAGCATGTGAGTTCTGGAAAAGGGAAAAAAACAAAAAACAAACAGAAAAATGCATCCTGAGGGCGAGGCAGGAGTCTGTGGTCCCACCCACATCATAATATTCAGGGCAAGGAGAACCGGCAAGAATTCAAATAGAAACTCACAAAGCAGTTTAGAGTTGGACCCAAGGGAAAGCCCAGTGGTGGTTGAGACACCATACGACTGATGTTGAAGCATCTTACAAGTTGGGTCTAGGATGCTGCCAGACAGCAGGCTCTGAACTTCCCTGACCTGTGCCAAGGTATCAGGGACACTCCTGCTGGGAGCAGGCAACTCTCCTCTGCAGCTGTCATCCTTCATCAGCATCATGTGGCCATCTCCAGGCCATCAATACCCTGTTTTGTAGGAGGGGAAGGATGGGGAGTGAACCTTGATCCCCCTGCCCCATGTCATGGGGTCAGAAACAGCTTTGGTGCCCCTTCCTCATACCCCTTTCCCAAAAACCTCAACCATCCTGGGTCCAAGAAAGGACATCACAGCAGCTCACCTGTCCCTTGCTCTGCTAAGGCCTTCCCTGGGTTCCTAGGAGAGTGCTGGGTAAGGGCAGTGGGGATGGGGCAAGATGCTCGGACCTCCTCTATCCTTAGGCAGGCTGCTCGCAGCCTGAATGGATTTGGGTCCGCTTACCTCCACAGCCTTGTAGCAACTCAGGGGAAGGCTGCAGGATACAGCAGAGTTGTGCTGTGCTTGGTCTTTCTAGAACAGGGAAAATCCATGGGCACAGCCTTGTATTGGATACGGGCTCAGCAATTATGAGTTGAATTCAGGGAAGTTCAGTTTTGGCATCAGGCTAACCTTTGCTTTACTGAACTTGCTGTTGGTTACAGAACTGCCTTTTCTCACCTTTACTAGAACTCTGGAAGAATCAGAAAGGTCCAGGATTCATTCAAGGTCATAAAGCAAATTAAGTTGAGGAGTCAGGATTTGAACCCAGATCTTGGTTCAGGTTTTTCCTGCTAGACCAAGTTGCCTACTCCCAATCCAGTGCCATGGCTGTTAACAGCCTAACACAACCATGCTGTCCTCATCAATGTCTAACTTAAAGGTTATATATTTGCCAGTATCTCTCAGAAGCCTTTCTCTCTTTTATTTGTTTGTCTAAAACCCCATGGCATGAAATCACCTGCTAAAAGAGCCACCTGTAATAGTCTGTAAAGTTTCTGACTCACCTTGGTAAATTGCGCTAAACTTACCTGCCCCAGTTTTAAGTACATTCCTTTCCTACTACTGGCCCAGAATTTGGTTTGTCCAGGTTCATATAAGCCTGCTCTATGCTTGCCATGGCTTGAAGCTGAAATATGTCCCCTCTCCATGTTCCAGGCTAAAAACTGTCAGGGCTACCATCTGTCATTCCTTAGGCTATTACGTCTTTCCCCTGTTCAGAGCCTTCACAATCCCACAATAGCCACATGCAGGGTCCCAGATACACAGGACTTGAGCACACTAGCATTAGCACAGGACCCCAGGGAGAGAGAACCTCAGTTCTCAGGTCTGCTTCCTGGACCAGCATGTCATCCAGGTCATTTCCTCCCTCCCCTCTCTCTGGTTATCTATCTATCTATCTATCTATCTATCTATCTATCTATCTATCTATCTATCTATCTATCTCTCACCCTCTCCCCTCCCAAACACAAGACTCTACACTGGTCACTTTTATATCTACTTCTGAATAATCCTGATTCACACTTACTTACTTTGTTTTTATGTAAAATTTTCCCTATTGGTTTAGCCATCCAGAAGTACCTGAAGTTCATGGACTTTGACATTTTGCATTCTCAATGACTGATGTTTTGAAATAAACCCTTTTAAGGTTTCTAGCTGCTAACTCCTGAGTTAGTGAACTTGCATTGTGAAAATCAGAAAAGAAATTACCATCACACTTTTAGAGGCCAGAAAGCAAACCAAGGAATGACGATACATCAGACACTCAGAAAGCCAAGGAGAAACCCAGGTTGTCCAAAGAATCCCCTCAGGGCTTACAAAATGATGCCACTGTGCTCAAGGCCCGTGTATCTGAAACCCTGTACATGAATGTTCTGGGATTGGGAAAGCTCTGAAAGTGGATACATGAGTGTCCAGCCACCTCCCATGGATTCCCCAGAATCCAGGTACCCAAATCTTTTTTAAAACAATATATTGTTTATTTTCATATAGTTTTAAAAAAAGATTTATTTATTTTTATTGCAAAGTCAGATATATATGTGTGTGTGTGTGTATATATATATATATATATAGAGAGAGAGAGAGAGAGAGAGAAAGAAAGAAGAGAGAGAGAGAGAGACAGATAGAGAGGAAGATCTTCCTTCCAATGATTCACTCCCCAAGTGGCCACAACAGCCAGAGCTGAGCCAGTCCGAAGCCAGGAGCCAGGATCTCCTCTGGGTCTCCCACGTGGGTGCAGGGTCCCAAGGCTTTGGGCTGTCCTCAACTGCTTTCCCAGGCCACAAGCAGGAAGCTGAATGGGAGGCTGGGCTGCCAGGATTATAACCAGTGCCCATATGGGATCCCAGTGCATTCAATGCAAGGTCTTCAACCACTAGGCCACCGTGCCAGGCCCCCAGGTACCCAAATCTTAACCATCTAGGAAAGAAATATCTCTGGGGAATCTGACCTATAGACACCGACATGTGGGGCATTCATCAACAGATCCAACCTCACCACCACTACTGCGAAACATACTACAAGCTCTGTCTGCAAGCATAAGTAAAGAGCTTTCAATGTAATTTTTAGTCTCCTAAACAGTATTAGATAACAAAGGTCACCAAGAATAAAACTTCTAACATAAATATTAGAGATCAAAACAAATAAGCAGAAGGGTGCAAGTTAAATTGTTGATGGAGAAGACTACTTAAAAAATCAAAAATCACTATCACTAATATCCTTGGTAAAGAGATATACAAGAGCATCAACAGTATGTTATGTTTTTCTCCACTCCTCCCTCTCTTTTTTAAAGATTTATTTATTTTTATTAGAAAGTCAGATATACAGAGAAGAGAAACAGAGAGAAACTTTTCCATCCACTGGTTTACTCCTTAAGTGGCTATAACAATTGGAACTGAGCCAATCCAAAGTCAGATGCCAGGAGCTTCTTCCAGATCTCCCATTCACATGCAGGGTCCTAAAGCTCTGGGCCATTCTCTCCCATTTTTCCAGGCCACAGCAAAGAGCTGGATGGGAACTGGAGCAGCTGGGACATAAACTCATACCCATAGGGATCCTGACGCTTTCAAGGCAAGGATTTAGCCACTGGGCCATCACACTGGGCCCTCTCTCCTTCTTTTTAAAAGGTATTTTTATTTATTTGAAAGGCAAGGTCACAGAGGAGAAAGAGAGAGAGTTCTTTCATCTGCTAGTTTACTCTCTAAATGGTTGCAGTAGAGATGGGGCCAAATCAAAACCAGTAGCCTGGAACCCCATCTAATTCTGCCAAGTGGGCGGCAGAGGACCAAGCATTCAGGCCATCTTCTGCTGCTTCCAGACGCATTAATGGGGAGTCAGATCAGAAGTGGAGCAGCCAGACTCAAACAAGTGCTCAAATAGGATGCCAGTGATGCAAGTGGCAGCTTAATTCACTGTGCCATCATATCAGCCCCATGTGATTTTTTTTTTAAATTGAGAGAACTAAGGTGGAGGGTGGGAGAGAAGCCCATCCAAGGACCAAGGAGTTCTGCTTCTATAATTATTAGTTAATTTATATCAACTGAGCTCTACAGCCATAAACAATGACAAATTCTGGACAAAAATACTAAAAGCAACTATTTGAAGGTAATGAAGAGTAACCCCAAACTGGCAAAATCCAGAGACATGATGACCCTAGACCAAAGCAGAACAGGGTGAGAGCTGCTCTCGGCTGCCTTTCCCTGTGAAAACTTCCAGGCAGCAGGGGAAAAAACATGGCTCAGGCAGAAAGCTAGGATCTAACTGGACGGAGGAATCACATGTGAGAGTGGGAAGCCACTAGGACACAGGTGGGAACTGAGGGAGGAGATTGCAGAAAGGAGTGAAACACACATGCAAACTTGCCTCAAATGATGGGCTGCTTTGTGCATCATGCAAGTAGCAGGATGAGCCCCTGGGGAAACATCGTTGGAAGGCTCGGAAATTTGGGCAGCAATTTCAGCCGCTGTCCAGTGCAAGGGAAACAAGGTTTGGAATTCAAGTTCTGCCAAGTTAACAACCTGGTCTTTCTATGACATCCAAGGAGATTAAGGATAAAATCAAAACCAGTGAGCTTTAATGAAGCTTCACATCAAGACTACACAGAACCAAAGTGATTTACCTGCTAGAACAAAACATTCTGCACAAGAAGACAACAGAATCCAGAGTCTCTATGACTTATCATTCCCAGTGACCAGTAAAGAATATTAGGCATAGGAAGCAGGACAATTCAAACCATAATCAGAAGGAAAAAAAAATGAATGACCGAGATGTTAGAATTGGTAGTTGTCAGTTGCAAATATAACCTACAAGTATGCTAAATAATCTGTAAGACAAGATGGTTACAATAAGTGACAAGATGATGTATTTTAGAAGTATAAAGGAACCAAAAAACTAAATACTAAAAAACTAAAAAAACACAAAATCTGAAACAAAAATTTTTCATATGGGATTCAGATTTGATCCTGCAGAATAATCAGTGACATTGAAGATAAGAATCTCAAAATTACTCAAATGCAGAACACATACTGTATAGACTCCATTTACATTAAATTATAGAAAATATAAACAAATTTACAGTGACAAAAATCACATGGCTAGTCCCTTAGGGAACAAGGTAGAGAGGATGGAAAGAAGAAGGACAGAAGACCACAAAAGGGTGTGAGAAAATGTTTGGAGGTAATGGATCAACTTACTATCTCGATTGTCCCAAGAGTGTATACATACATATGTTGCAACTTACCCAATCACACACTTTCAATATTTACATTCACTAAAAGACAATTACACTGTATAAGCATTGGAAATGGAAGCTAT